TCTTGCCCCCTTTGTGGATCAAGAGTTTCACCGGGTAGCCCCAGTGGTATTGAATGGTGTGTTGGCGGAGGATCTCTGTGATGTTTCGGTATGATGTCCGTCAGAACATCTTTAAATTTCTCGTTCCCGCTCCTGCCTGTTCGGTTGGCTTTGAGGATCTGTTCTTTCACGTGGAAATAGTGGACCCGCAGCAAGACATCTCGTGGGGTGGAAATGGGTATGTGTGCGGGTCTCGCTGTTCTGTGGATTCTGTCCAGGATCAACATGTCTGTCGGGATGTCTGGCAGCATGGAGTGGAAGTACTCAGTACGTAGGCTGTGAGTTCTATTTGGGGGATTATCTCTGGTATGCCGCGCAACCGCAGGTTGTTGCGGCGTGAGCGGTCCTCCATGTCCATGCGTTTGTACTCACAGCGTTCCATTTTACTTTCTAACTCTTCCACCTTGTCAGCCATAGAGTCGTGGGCCACAGTGAATTCCTCCATTCTATTTTCTAGGTGTGAGGTGCGGTTGCCTATGTCTGCTATGTCTTTGCGTAAATCTGCCACTGCTGACTGTACTGTTACCTGCATCTTGTGTGCTAGGGAGTCCAGCATGTGTTGCAGAGTCGACTTATCCACCGCCATTCCCGCCATGTGTTCGCTGTCGGCGTCTGACTCGACACCATCTTGGGTCAGTGTTTCCGCGTGTTTCGTTTGCGGTGTGCAGGCCGCGAAGGACGACTTGTCTTTAGCTTCCGATGGTTTTTTGTGCGCTGAGTTGGGACATTATGGTAGGTGTCTCCGGTACTTGTGGGTGCCGTTTTAATGCTTTTAATTAAGCTTATTGCGAGCCTGGCCTTCGGAGCTCTCTCAGCCTGCGACCATCCGGTTCGGCTTCCGGTCACGCCCCCTCCCCCCCAAAGATTACTTTTAAAAGTAGAGCCTAGTTGTTCTTCAGCTGGACCCCAATAGCTAGGCTTCAGCTGGACACCAATAGCATAGAGAAACTGCTATGTTTATGAATGGGTTAAGCCTTCCCCCTAATCCTCTAGTGGCTGTCTCATTGACAGCCACTAGAGGCGCTTGCGTGCTTCTCACTGTGATTTTCACAGTGAGAGCACGCCGGCGTCCATAGGAAAGCATTATGAATGCTTTCCTATGTGACCGGCTGAATGCGCGCGCAGCACTTGCCGCGCGTGCGCATTCAGCCCAGGAGGAGGAACGGAGGAGGAGAGAAGGAGAGCTCTCCGCCCAGCGCTGGAAAAAGGTAAATTTAAACCCCTTTCCCCCTTCCAGAGCCAGGCGGGAGGGGGTCCCTGAGGGTGGGGGCACCCTCAGGGCCCTATAGTGCCAGGAAAACGAGTATGTTTTCCTGGCACTATAGTGGTCCTTTAAGAATTATCTGAGAGATGTGGATGTGTGATATTATCTCTGTATGAATTCAATTTCCTAATAGATAGCTATTGGAGACCAGATTATAGTAGCAATGACCCACCAGGCTAACTAACACCCGCTTCATCTGTAGTACTAGGTTAATCAGCCTAGATCACACTAAAACAAAATCAGGAATAATATTTGTGGTACTACAAAGATCTTGGGAACACTCCTTCCTTGAGCAGCTGTTTTGGACAGTCTGATGTCCCTGCTCATTCAGAGGGTGTTTGCTAATGCTAATCTTGCTGCTTAGCACTAGAAAATACAAATTGGCAAGTGTTGGTTAATAAGCAATGCAAATGTCTGTTATGGTGCTTTTGATGAGATGCCAATTATATGAAAATGCCTTGCAGGATTTTTAAGTTCTAATGTAATACATCATCATATGTTGTTAATTTTGTGTGTATTTTTTTACATTTTGTTTTTGACCATTTCAGCTTGAATGGCACTCAGACCAAGAAAAAAGTCCCCCCTCGTCTTTTTTGCGATATTTGTGACTGTTTTGATCTCCACGATACAGAGGATTGTCCCACACAGACTCAACTGCCTGACTCACCACCTCATTCCAACTTCCATGGTAACAGGAAAGAAGAGCGTCCCTACTGTGATATCTGCGAGGTATTCGGACACTGGACAAATAGTTGCAACGATGACGAGACCTTCTAGATTTATGTCTGCAAAACTTGAATATGATCGATTGACCTCACCAGCATTTGCATACACAGGCTTCAGAAAACTGCAGATAGTTGTTTACACATATTTAATATCAAATATGCATATTATTTACATGGATTGGCTGAATTTGGACTTTGATTATAAATCTTTATAATCCATATGTTTTTCTGCATTAACCTTGCTTCATTATAACATTTAAGGGCTTGCAAAGTTATTCGATCTTACATAAATCTTCATACAATATTAACTTACATGCATATCAAGCTCGAGTTTCATAATTGCACTTTTTACATATAAATGCCTTTTACATTTTGACACTGGATGTATTTTACATATCAGTTTATTTTGCTTCTTCTATAAAAGCATAATTACAGAAAAAAGATAAAATGATTTAACACCAATCTAATGCTGTTGAAACAACACCCATACACACTAAAGCAATATAACATACAACCCAGAAATGTACCCATTAACCAGAAAACCAAATTACAAGAGTCCTACTGGAAAGATCCAGCTGTGGTGGGATTGATGGAAATACTCTGCTTAAATGTCTATGCACAAAGGGAAATGTAATCACTATGGTGTTTGTTTTATATTCATTCTATTGTATTTATTCAGTAGTTGGAAAATTTGCCTTTGAGTGTTTTGGGAATATATTCGAAAAACTACTCATGACTTTGGTTTTTAACTTGGCCTATGACCAAGCAGTTTCTTTTCAGCCCCATAAAACATAAAATAATTTTGTCTGATATCTACAGTCCTTAGTTTATGGTTTCATTGCAATTTCAGTCTAAGAGCAATTTGTTTGTCACTGCCTTTATTAATTTCATCTGTTTTATGTCTACTTTTCCTTCCAGTACTAATGTATCGTGAAGCCTTCTTCATTTTTCTTATTCACTGATTTTTGAAGAAAATGGTTAACCGTGCAAGATGTTAAAATATCTGGTTATACAAATTGTATTTTAGTTATTTGTATTCATTGATGGGGACAAAAACCTATAGTTAAAAAAAGATTGTATCGGAAATTCAACATGACTATCATATTTCAATGATATGTAAAGCGTTTACTGTAGCATTTGCATACCACTAGGTGGAAACAAAATTGAGCTTAATGTTTTTGTACACAGTATCACATTTTGAAGATAGCGGTTATTGCTACGGACGAACTTCATTTTCCGAAAATTCTTATTCACTCTACAGCTACTCAAGTATATCTGGTGTTAATTCACATGCATCTTTGCATTGATTGCAAATGTATGTGGACAAAGCAACATTTATTTAAAATGAGTCTCCTGCAAATAGAGCTTGTTGCTACTACTGCAGCATAATTCAGGAAGTGTTCCAGATAGGTTTACTGAAAAATTCAAAGAAATCCAAGCATGTGAACAAACTGTTTGGTTTATTTCCTAGTGCAAAGAACAAAGTTGCTGTAAATGCTTTATTGTATCTAAACTTGAATATTGGGGACATTTTAGATACACACTACATATATATATTTTATAGCCATTATAAAACAAATTATTTGTTTTTGGAGGGGGTAAGAGAGGTTTTAAGCGTATTATATTTTCAGGCCCTGATGAAACAAGAAGAATGTTATAGTGATCCAACATCAAATGAGTGTTACTGCACAGTATTTGAATGCACATGAAAAACCTTTCTTCATGTTTGTGTTGCTGTCCCTTTAAACTGCACTATGTGTTAATCTAGGAAGAAAAATGGCAATTAAAGGGTGTTCTAGAAAGCTTGCTGTTGTTTTAACCTTATAAATCTTTGGGTTGGATTGTACACTTCCTAAATTCAATTTTCTAGCTTACTCGCCACATTAACAGCAAAAAATAAAAACCTTGCAACTCTGCATTCCATTTACAAAGTGGAATCACAGGGTAACAGGTTCAAATACCTGAATAATCTGGGAAATTCCTAAAATCTGGTTCCGTTTGTGCCTAAAGCAGAAAAATACCACTATGAGATACAATTATTCATTGTTGATCAATTGAAATTAGATTTGATAATCCCTTTTTACTGAACAAACTGCATTATCCCCATATCCTCACTTACCTAGTGTTTTTGAATTAATTTAATTCCTTTTCCCTTTACCCTTATGTAATAGAGATCTATTTATCATACCGATGGTGTACTTACACCTTATGCTATTACTGTATAAAGAATGTTTATAGAGTAAATTCCTAATTTGTATTAGATAGACTTGAACATATTTGAATATGTATATGAATTGGATGTTGAATATTAAATGTATAGTAGATGTAAGAATGGATGATTGTAAATATACACATTCTTCCTGAATAAAGTTTAAATGAGTGCTTCAAACTAAGTCAAGAATCTCTTGATCAACCTAATGTATTAAAAACCAGTACATATTAATTGTTCATGTGATAAGTGTTCTTAAGTGGGTTTTTCTTATATTGAGAATTCTGTACCTGGCTTTCCACTGATGAATTTGTAATTAGCAAATAAAGGTGCGTTAACTTAAAAATTAAACGAATGATGTGTTCTTGTCATATAAGGTCTGTTCTAACATGTATGCCATCAATAAACTTTTCACAGTTCATTATGTATTTTTTTCAGAAGGTCAATCCATTGGTAAATTGAAGTTAATACAATAACAAGATCCTCTATCCAAGAATTGCAAACTATACTGACTAAAATTTTGAATAGTGTGTGTGTGTGTATATATATATATATATATATATATATATATATATATATATATATATATATATGGGACAATGGTGTGGTTAAAAATATACTCTCTCAATAGCATGTATTTGGTATTGACTAAGATCTGTTATTGGCATTTTATTTATCAGAAAAAAATATTAAGTGCCAAGTGGTGACATTCAATGCTTTCGTTTGAAAGCTGTACATTTCCTTTCTTGCTGTAGGAGGGGATGGCTAACAACATGTTAGGCATCATGCTCAGAAACCAAAAATTTTATGGCACAAAAGGTGTATGTATGGACAATGTGTACAAATATTGGTCATAATTAAGTTGTAACTCCGGTTTGAGAGAAACTATTTGACACTCCAATTAACAAATGCCCAGCCAAAGTAGAAGGTCCAAAGTTGTCTAATCACCAGTGATAAATATGCCCCCCAAAAGTGAGCATGTTTAAAGGAGCACTATATGGTCAGGAACACAAACATGTATTACTGACCCTATAGGGTTAAAACCACCATCTAGCCACGTGGCCCCCCTAAATATAGTAAATCTTACTTGTATTCAAGCCTGAAGCTGCTCGCTTTGTCACAGTTTCCTTTTGACCTGCTCCACTGCCTGCTGACATCAGCAGAAGTGGTAGGCTGATCCAATCACAATGCTTCCCCATAGGATTGGCTGAGACTGACAAAGAGGCAGATCAGGGGCAGAGCCAGCATGATTCAAACACAGCCCTAGCCAATCAGCATCTCCTCATAGAGATGAGTTGAATCAATGAATCTCTATGAGGAAAGTTCAGTGTCTGCATGCAGAGGGAGGAGAAACTGAATATTTGGATGCATTTTAGGCAGCCATGACCCAGGAAGGATCTCTAACAGACATCTGAGGAGTGGCCAGTGAAGTGATCACTAGGCTGTAATGTAAATACTGCATTTTCTCTGAAAAGACCGTGTTTACAGCAAAAAGCCTGAAGGTAATGATTCTACTCACCAGACCAAATTCAATCAGCTGTAGTTGGTGACTATAGTGTCCCTTTAATGCTCTTCCAAGGGAGCCCATGCACAAATTATGGCACTCCTCAAAACAAAACACAACCATATATCAATAAATACCCAGTGCTTCTCAGCGCAAAAATTTGTAAAGTGAAGAAAAGCGCACTCTCAAGGATTTTTTAAAAAATGTATTAACACAATGTTTTGAAAAAAATCCTTGAGTGCTCTTTTCTTCACATTGCACACACACATACATATATTTATTTGTGGTTGTGGCACTTAAGGTCGTATCAATAGTTGTATGTGAAAGTCGGTTGATGTGTGCTGAAACAGATGTATTGGCAGGCCTGTAAATAAAGGGGGCAAAAGTTAAAATACCATACTTTAATTTATTTCAATCAACAAAACACAGTAATATAATAATTCAAGTTAAAATACTCAGAAATGCTTGTCTGAGTTCTTGCTCAGGATTAGTTATATAACGACAATAGACGGTAGGCTTCCAGTGACCCAAAGTTTTAATTATATACACTGGTATATTCTTACTGGAGGCCATGGAAGCCGCCCCTATTCTGAATAAATGACCTGAATAGTTTGATGGATTATGACCCAGTCTCATTAGGAATATTCTAACGTACAGCATGAATTTAGATGTCGTAAAAACTGTACATAGATAAAAAAAAATTTATAAACTTAATTTCCATCCTCCTGACCTTGAGGCAAGTTTTAAACCCTGTGGTGTGTGACTCTATTCAGCACCTCCACTGAGTGCAGGCTGAGTACATTGTTTTCGCGAGCTCTAGCATTGTGTTACTGTAGTAACCTGCAGCAATGTTCTGTACTAGGTAATAGGGCACAATGACTTAAAAAAAAAAAAAATAGACAAAAAAGGGTTGCAATAACCCTTTAACTGTCATTCAGATTACAATTCACTACAATTTGGAGTTTAGTGAATAACAAACACACAATTAAGCCCCCAAATTAAACTCTCACTACTCCTGTCATGACCATAGTAAACAGATACTTAGGAGCAGGTGTGTTTCTGTGTGTAGGGTTGGTGTTTGTATTATTATTTATAACACCAACAAATTCCGTAGCGCTTTACAATGGGTGGACTAGCAAACATGTAATTGTAACCAGACAAGTTTGACGAACAAGAACAAAGTGGTTGAAGGCCCTGCTCAATGAGCTTACATGATAGAGGTAGTGGGGTAAAGTGACACAAGAGGTAAGGGAAGTATTAGTGAAGTAGATTGCTAGAATAGTATTCACTGAAGACAAAGTGTGGTTTTTTTTTTTTTAACATGACAGATGCAGGAGGGGGATCAGTTGGGAGCCATTAACAATTTAATTGATACACTTGTGTGAAAAAGTGAGGTTTTTTTTTTTTAAATGATTTTTTTGAAGGGGAGACATGGTGAGCGTCTAACGGAAAAGGGAAGGGAGTTCCACAGGAACAGTGCAGCCCTAGAGAAGTCTTGAAGGCGAGCATCAGAGGTGGGAGTACGAACAGAGGATAGACGTAGGTCTGTATATATTAGCGTTTTATACAGGGATGTGTTTGTATGTAATATTTGCATGCAGAGGTATGTTTGAATGTAGTTTTGGATTTTAATTGCGGATGTACATTTGAGTATTTGAATTCAGCGGTGTCTTTGTATGTCATGTTTTTGTTTGCAGGAGTGTGTTGTGTTGGTGTTTGGTGGGATGTCTGCACATGCACGGCTACGTACATACCTTCACAGGTATACATACACATTAACAAACACACACACCGACATATACATGCACTGACACACACCCACTAGCACAAAGATACACAGTGACATACATGCACAGATACACGCAGGCTGACATACAGATACACACAATAGCAACTACACAAACACTGGCACAACGATACACACACTGATACACACACATTGACACACTGGCGCGCACACACGCCAGTATTTGCTGTCACCTTCCTGTTCGCTTACCTTTTTTCTCCGGGGGGGGGGGGTGACTTCCTTTAGTGCTGCAGGCTGGTGTGTAAGGTCGGCAGCTGCTCCCTCTCTACCTCCACATGGCACGCTCTAAGACTGGGAGAAATTGACACACTGTCACTTTCTCCCAGCATCCCATACAGGGACCCGGTTGCGGTCTTAAATGGCCTGCAACAGTGAGCGTTCCTGCTTTCAGCTAGAAGAGCCAGCAAGCCAGTGCTGGCAAATAGGTAATCCAGCATTGTTTTGTTTTTTAATACTATAGGATCAGGAATACACGTGTTCTTTTAATATATGCTCATAGGATCTTCCCAACCGCCATTCTCAGCTTGCTTTCTAGTGCATGACTGAATGGTATAAAAAGTAATGTACTAGCGCTAATATTTTATAATAGGATTTATACAATAATATACCTAATATTTAATATATAAGCTGCTATACCACAGTGATATTATCTTTTAGTATTACAATCCAAAAACAGTCTAATGGTGAAGCGCTAATTTAACAGTGAAAACTGTGCTTAGTAGTATCATGGGACACAGTGAATAAAAGGATATACCTTAAAAGGGTTCACTACTGTGGAATCTTGGTGCGTGAATAGTGTCATGACTGAATGGTGCAAAGCACACTTTTGTATTGCAGTTTGCTATTTAGTCAGCAGGGCCCAGCAGCATAATGTTGCTCTCATCGGGGATAAAATTACCCAAGAGTTTCCTCTCTTGGTATCAGAAGTGGACACTAGATACATGAGGCCACTCTTTAAAATATATATATATATATATATATATATACATACATACATACACACACAGGAAATACTTGCCATTTGCATGCACATTGGGAACCGGTCTGATCCTGCTGCAAATACTGACTTCTCTAGTGACTGGGTTTATAGAAGAAGGGGACACATATATAATTATGTTTGGCATTTATATATGAGTACCATTAAATTTGGGTAATAGTAACAACCCCAGAATGTACTTGGAAACCAGAGTAATCTGGATGTACCTTTACTGGTTAAATGTGTTATTATTTATAGAACGCCAACTTATTCCTCCACGTTTTACAGTATTATAAAAGGGGGAAATTTAACAATAAATTAGACAATTACAAAATGTTAGTCTTTTTTTATTTTTACCCAAACAAAAAGTACTCTTTCAAAAGGTTTTCTTTTGATAACCCTAAACAAAAAGCAATATTGACAAAAAGGCCTCCATAGTCACCACAAATACACCAAATATTGGTAAAGAATTGATCACTAAAGGGTTAAACAGTAAATTCAATTAAATTGAAAACTAAAGCAACACTGTATCATTCGGAATATAAACCTGTATTCCTAACTCTATAGTGCCTAGTTCCTATTTAGATTCTGTCCCCTCACCTCTTTTTTATTTGCTGCAAAATAAAAGGGAAAAAAAACAAAACTTTAAACTTACCTTTTTTTTTTCCCCCAAGCACGATTTCCTTGGTGCTACTACCCACTGTACCAACGGCAACAACATTGTGGAGGTGTCTCTACCACAATTAATGTCCAATCCAATGCTCCTCACAGAATGTAATGCTCTCCTATGAGCTGCATTTGGTTACATGACTAAGTTTCACTTGATTTAAGCTGTGGAATAACCTATAGTACAGGGATGCAGCTAGGAATTACAGGGCCATCTTACGCTTATATATATATATATATATATATACACCGTATATACATACACGCACACACAATTTAACCAGCACGCACTTTCACTGACAGACACACGCTCACTACAAAACAATAGGGAGGGCCAGCACTCCACTAGAAATTTGGGTGAGGAAGAGCAGGAACATCAGCGCTCCCTTGCTGCCACCGATTCCTACGGATGCTGTAAATTTTGGCAGAGTAGGCATCTGCCATTCGTATAAGCAGGTGCTTACTCTGCCTTAGTGAATATACGCCACATTGATGGAATCTTAATGTGGTCAGCCTGTCGCCTCCTGTGCCACCTGAGACAGGCGGAAAGCAGAGGACCCCGTCACACTTGCGACCTCAGCGCCCCCTGTAGTTCCGCTACTGCTCTAGTAGTTGTCTGGAAGTCAGTCACTATAGGTGTATTTACAGAGACTAGAGACAATCTCGATTCACAGCTAACCTCCAATATGAGGAGCATTGGATTGGACTGTTATATGCATTGGCGTGACACGACAGGAAGCAGGATCAGCAGCTGCTGGGACTGGATCTTAGCACTGGAAATAAGAATAAGTAATACCCCATTTCCCCAATTTTTAGATTTTGGAGTTGCATCGAAATAAAGAGAACGCAATTCCTAATGCTATAGTGTACCTTTGATCCTGCAGTGTAAATGTTGCAGGTTCTACAAAACATTTATCAGACAGCTACTAGAGGCGCTTCCAGGAGTTTACCAGCCAGGGGAGGAGGGCAGGGTACCAGAGGGCACTATAGTGTTAGGAATATACGTTTGTAACTCTAACACTATAGTTTCCCTTTAAGTAGTCTGGGTAAGTTGAGTGATCTTTTAAATTGCACATTTTACAACAAAATAGTAGAACTGGAAAACATCTCCAATTTACTTGTTTTCCCAAGTGTCTTATTTAGACCTAGTACATTTAGCACTACTTAGTAATAAACCCCCGACCGTCGTTACTGTGTTATTGCTGCACCTCCGGGTATCTGAGTGCCAGGGTTTTGCCACTAGTTAATATGTCCGCCAGCTACTCGCGTGTTGATGACGTAGAATGGTTGCGATACCACTTGCAGAGGGGAGAGCTAAATACTGTTACAGTAATATTTTTTGGAGGTATGTTGGAAACCTTGGATGGAGGGCAGCAATGGGAAGTTTTACGCGTTGATTTACTGTATTTCACTTCATGAGAGGCATGGTCTGTTAGGAGCTGCTCTTAATAAACATTACCTACACATGCATTATAATCAATAGTACTCCTACCCACTACAAAATACTGACACACTATACTAATATATAAACTACATATTAGGCTCAATAAATAAAGTCGGTAATTTTACTTCGATATTATTGCCGTTCTTTAGTGTGGAATGTGGAACTATACAGGAACATAGTCCACAGAGCCACAGAGAATCCAATCAGTACTTCTGGCCAGGTGACATCGTACACACAGCTTGGAACTATAGTGGGAAAGGCATTTTCAAGCTTGTGATTCCCCCTAATGTTGAACTGTGCTAAGTACTTTAATGTTAGAGACACTTAAAGCTGTTGGATAGAATTGCTAGAATACCATTTTCCAGGACACCTGTGTCTTGCTGTGGGGTTGTACACGAGAGTTTAATCCAGCTGTATATAACATTTATATTCCACATAAAATACATATATCCCTGTTGTCTTTGCGAACTCTTTCCAGAATTGTTGGCACGTTTTTCTCTCCTGCAGCAAGCTCACAATACATAATGTCAGGAAGTCGACACTCGTAATTTAGATTGCTCCATTTTGCTATTTATTATATTATGCTATGACTGTGATTTACAAACGCCTTTGTTGTTGTGAGTTTTGATGATTTTTTTTTTTTCCAGAAATTTCCTTCATAGAATTAAGTATTTCTATTAAATCAACTGGCTATGGAGAAGGGAGCATTACAGTTTTCAGAATGGAATACAGGCAAGAGGCGGATTAGATATATGTTTATATGCCCTCCCTGTTCTTTTAAATTATATCATGGGCATCATGGAGAGGTCTGTATTACTAATTTTATACTTGTTTAAAATCATTCATAGGTTTGCCAATAAAAATGTGTCAGGCTTGATGGTTAGACTAATTATATAGATGCAATGTAAATCTGCCCCAAAAAATGAAAAAAAAAAAAAAAAACATTAGAAATGGTTATACGTTTTCAAAGTAACTGCTGCTGATAATGTCCTGGAGGATGGCCAAAGAAGAAACTACAGATTCTCCCTTCGATGTCAAGGGGGAAAAAAAGCAATTTTAGCAAATCACAGCATTCATAAGCAACTTTTTGCAAGGGGACAGAGGATCTCCTTTCACCATAACCTGTGCAACAAACTATTACGTTATGGTGTTTGTAGTGTGTCTTATAAAATTGAATTGTTTATTAAAAGAAAAGTGCTTTGTAAATTTAAATGTGTGATAGTATCAGGCTTTAGAGTTTGATAATTCCTTAGTTCACATCTTTTTAATGGACAGTAAATTTGTGTTCTGTTTAAAATTTATACTTAAATGAACACTATAGTAACCTGAATAACTACAGCTTAATGTAATTGTTCTGGTGTCCATAGCAGGGCTTGCCAAGTTTTCTTGAAATCTAGGAGACAGCTAAAAAAGTTAGGAGCCAGATTTTTCAACGTCATAAATACAATTCTGTTAAGGGACTTTAGTCACCAGAACCACTACAGCTTAATATAGTTGTTCTGAAGTCTATATACTGTCCCTGAATGCTTTTCAATGTAGACACTGACTTATCAGACTAAAGGCAGGGTTTACATTTCTGTCTGGTAACACCTCTTGTAGTAATCACTCAGATGGCCTCTAAAAGTGCTTCCCCGGTCAGGGAAATTAATGCTTCCTCAAAATGTTTTTCTATGGGAAAGCATTGGATTGCCTGAGATCATCAAGATTGATGATCTCAACCATTGAGGTGGGGCCAGCCGCAGAGTCACCAGCATGGTGTGGGAAAAAGAGTGAGTTAAACACCTTTCCCATGTGATTGGAGGGGGACAGGTCACTTAAACATACACACTCACTGACATACACACTCATTTGATACACACACTAACTGGCAGACACACACACTAACTGGCAGACACACACACTGACAGGCAGACACTCACTCACTGACAGACACACACACATACACTCACTCACTAACAGACAGACACCCATACACACACTTACTCGCTGACAGGCACACACACACATACACACTCTCTCACTGACAGATACACACTCACCCACTGACAGACAGACACACGTACACACACTTACAGACAAACATACGCACACTTACTGACAGAAACACACACTCACTTACAGACACACATACACGCACTGATTTCACACACTCACTGATTTCTCACACACACACATACACTGCAACACTCACTCACAAATCATTACTTTTATTATTTTAAATCAACCCAGCTGGAGTAGATTAGCTTTCCCTGTCGTACAGCTGTCATCTCTCTGCTTTGCTCCCTAGAGCGCTGTTTAGTGATGAGGGACGGAATTATGTAATATTCCGGCTCCCGGCATCACTGGATGGCGCGCCGGGGAGCAGAGCATGGAGGTTACAGCTCCCTCGCCACCGCACTCATTTACCCGCCCACCTACCTCCCTCCTTATACAGTCATTAGCCTCTCTCCCTCAGCTCTCAGTGAGCCAACTGTCTGCCTGCCTACCCGCCTAAGCCCTGCGTGAGTCGACTGCCTGCTTCCAATCTCGACAGCTGCTCACCTCAGGGGCTGAACAGGCTCACAAATCCCAGGGAATTGTTGAGCCCAGGTCTATAGCATGTCCCTATAGGCATTTTCATGTAAACCCAGCATTTTCTGAGAGAAGGCAATGTTTACATTACTGCCTAGTAACACCTCTACTGACAATCACTCAGGTGGCCACTAGAGGTGTTTCCTGGGTCAGTGCTGACACTCTGCATGGAGACACTGAACACTCCCCTATGAGGAGATGCTGATAGCCTCCCAGTGCTTACTACGGGAAAGGAGAAAATCAAATTTGATGATCTCAGCCATGGAAGAGGGGGAGGAGGGGCCAGCCACCTCGAGATTGGCGCAGCACTGGAAACAAGGTGAGTAAAAGCACCTTTTTATTGCAAATAGTAGTTATTTAACCACTATAGTGTCAGGAAAACATGTTTGTGTATATGACACTATAGTGTTCCTTTAGGATAAATTAGGTACTCCACTTCTCAATTTCACCTGGCTGCAAGGTTTATGACTGATGGCTTTTGCCATTGCCAGAAACTCTGTACCTGAGCTAAGCCTGCCCATGCATGGCTTAATTCACTGACTAAGACTGTGCTGCTGACAGTGTCAGCCAATGAGCTGCAAGTACTATAGGGTGTAGCTCGGGAGAGCTAACAGAAGCTTCCTGCAGGAAGAGGAGAAGCAGGAACTGCCGATCGCCATTCCCAAGTAAGACTGTTAGCAAATGTTTGACTACTTACATGGGGGAATGCCCAGGCACTCCTGGCACCATTAGCACTGCAGCATGCTGTAGTGGTTATGGTACTTGGATTGGTCCTGTAATTATTAAATAACTTAATTCTATATGTATAGCATTTTAGTTCCTTCTATTTTACAGGAAAACATGATTCCAGTGTTTCTTGGAGCTGATGTTGTTGCGCAGACAGGAATTCGGACGGAGAACCACCCAAAACTCCATGCAAAGTTTGCAAAGAAAGGATTGGCAGCAAAGCTTAATTTTAGTGCTGGTAGGGATCATTTAATGGACTATTTGCCATGTCGCCATTATGGACAGAGTAAAACCTTTTCAAAGGATGAGTGTAGTACTATGTGATTAATATATTTATAGGTAATCTAGTCCTCAGCAGAGAAATCATTTTTTAACTCCTGCTGTCAGTTAGAGCCTGTATTGCAGATTTGTCATCTGCATTTAAGTACCACTGTCATACCTAAAATAACTCGGTGACACATAGCTTAAATCAATTCATAAAAATAACCGTGTCCTGTTCTTTTCTCTAATATCCAAAAATGTGCAGTTTTATCACATGCTACAGTATTGAATGTTTGCACGGATTGATCTAGCTTGTACCTGCTGTTGTTTTTAATCTCAATGGACAAAAAAAATAAAGAATAAAAAAAAATGAGTTAGTGCAAATATCAGTGGCACTAAGTGCCAGTTAAACAGACTACTGGCATACAGCCAATGCAATCGATATGGTGTAAGTCTCACCTCCTCCCACAGTTACCTAAATCCATGTGCTCTGCTAGCTGTAATTACTCTTACGGTGCCACAGCCAAGAGCAAAACAATATTTTGTAGGGACACTTTGGAAAAACCCTGGTGGATAGAAATTCACTCCCAGGTTAGTGTGCCATGGACACTGCAGGCGTACAGTGGCAACTGAGTAACTTTTTAGACTGTTTATTAACACAGGATTTTAAATATATAGTAGAAAATGGGTGCATTCATTTTTCAGAAAATTGTAAGTGGCATTTTTCTTGTTTTACCTTACCACATATAGAATATTCTACACTATATTCTGGTTTTTTTGTCCTCATATTTTTTTCATACTTACCACCATACGAGTTTGAGGACACCCAGAAGGCGCTGCTTCCCTGTACCCTTTCCATTTTTATTTATATATAATATATATCCTTTTTTAGCACTACTTTAATGCAGGTGTTTTTTTAATTTATTTAATCTTTTCAGATTTCAAGTTTGAGAAGTTGCGGCTACCTGGTGCAGTGAACAGTCTGTGGTTTTATAGCATTCAAGGTGTATTTAGAGTAGCGTTTGACTTATACAGCAGAGAAGATCAGCTGGCTGTCATTGAAAGTTTACAGGTATCTCCTCACTGTTGACTGTGTGAATCCATTGTTAGAGTTTTACATATAATATGCAGCATTGACACATTATATATTGCTATGCTCCAGATGGAAATGAACATAAGCAAATGAACGTGAACTTGTGTGTACATGTTCCTCTAAAGTAATGAGATGAAAATGTAACATTTAGTATTTCATTCAGCCAATCTAAATATGGGAAATCTATATGGAATAATATGTTGAATCCTACACAAAAATATGACTTTTATAGTTTTTGCCAGTCTGCATCAAAATGTTGTGTTAAGATACAATTAATATATCTATCATTGCCTGTTTCAGGAGCTCTGGAAGAGTCGACTTAAAGATGGGCCACTCAACAACTGTTATATCTTAAAGAAGTGCCTTAGCAACTCAGAAAATGTTCTAAAGAGCTACAACTATACCAATCAATCGTCAGCCCAGGAACAGTTGATGGCTTGTTCTTCGGATTTTGTACACAAAACTCCAAAAATGAATTCCAGAAGTCTTGCCGTTACTGCAGTAACTGAACACAATTACTGTAAGTCAAGTTTAAGTCCTGGTCAGGATGCCACATACAATGATGTTATCTTCGAGCAAGCAAAAAACCTGTTGGACCTTTGTACAGATAAAGTGATCTGCCTTAGTGGACAGTTAAGGACGGCTGTTCTAACACTGTTTGATATCTTACATCAAGCACTCCAGGGACAACACAATCTGGAGCAAATGATCTTAAGTATAGTGCAGCTTTTAGACACAGCAAGTTATATGTTTGACAAAGACACTGTACAGACAGAACACCCTTCAGTTTATGATAACAGTTTGTTGTTTGAGGTCAGCAGCTGGCTCGGGAGCCGGTTCCAGAGAGAGAATGAATGCATAAGCCAACAGGTAGAAGAGTTTAAAAGGAAACATATAGATCGCATCTCAGACCTTCCTCCTGCTGAGGAACTGGTTGATGCTTTGTTTCCGAAGGCAATGAAAGTTCTCTTACTCAACTGGATGGGCCTCGCTGATAAGGCGTCTGTATCAAAACTCCAGAGTGAATACCCAATTCTACTCCTTATATTAGAATTTGCAAATCGAAATCTAATCACAGGTGTTGCCCATGTTTTATACTCTACACTTATATGTAAGTAGTGCGGATGTGCTAACCCTCATTGTTTTATTTGGAGGTGGGAGGCGTGTTCTGTGGAAGGATTAGAATGCATATTGCATGCTTTTTTGCTTGCTATCAAAACAGACTTTTAATTGTTGAATGCATTATATAGTTTTATTGATATATCTTCTCTCCATAACTACAAAAGTGCAAATTAATCCTAAAATATGTTTACATATGCCATAACCCAGTGTATAACTCAGAAAAGTATACTTACTCATTTTAAAGGTTTAGACTTTTTAACACATTACATTATTATTGCTGTTCAAATTAAAATCTTTCAATGTTTTTGTTTAATGCATAAATGTAAACATTAAGTGCCTCCCCAAAAAACGATGACTATGGAATAAGAAATAATGTGATACTGTATACTGGCTGTACATCACTCAAACATAAAGCAAGTTAGAGTGCTTTAACCCCTTAAGGACCAAACTTCTGGAATAAAATGGAATCATGACATGTCACACACGTCATGTGTCGTTAAGGGTCTGGAGTGTGCCTCTAAACATTTATTGGTTTTGTAGGTGTTTCCTACACCTGTAGGAAACACCTACAGTTTTACTCATTAAACTGGGATATATGGAGAACTGGTATGAAAATTGCAAATCATCGTCGAAAATATGTGTGGAATTGGAAAAATTCTTCATGAGGGCTCTTTTCCAGCTACATTATTTAGGCCCATGATTTACACTTCCTTTATCAATTCTCCACATTTGTAATATGGCATCCAACTGTCAAATATATTCTTACTGATTTTCTAATGAGATAAATCCACCACAATTTACTTAACTTAATCTATAAAACTAACAAACTAACCCTTATTAATTTAAGGCATATTTAAAGGTATAAGACCATCTACCCTTGGGCCTATTTGCACTACTTGATTCCTAATGCAACAGAATGTGTGTAATGTTACTGCACATTGACAGTCCCGTGGCAATCGCATGTTGAACAGAGTTAGCCCTGTACATGGTGCAGTGGCAAAAACAATGATGTGTATGGTTTATCTAGGCAGGAAAATGCTTAAAGGAATAGACCCGACGACCTGGCTGCAAATCAGTATTTGAACACTACATTTAGTATACTACTTTTTAAAGGCAAATTTACTATAAAGCTTAAATATAAATTAGAGGTAAAACATAAGCATACAACAAAAAGGAAAACATTACAGTAGGGTTCTTATATCCCTCCAATCTTCCAGATTTATAGAAATCCTTCAAGCACCATAACCACTACAACCCTCTTAGTGGTTATGGTGTCAAGACTGCCCTGGTGCCCTCCCAGGCTAAATAGTCAAACCGTTTGCAAGCCTGAGCCAGAAACTGCTGCACAGAACTTCCATCAGTCGCCTGACCTAAGCCCCGCAGTGTAGAGCTGACTTATTGGCAGTAAGCATTACCTGAGCACACTCAGCCAGTAAGCAAAGCCCTGCATTGCCGGGCAAGCTCAGAGAAAGATGCTTCTGGTTCTTCTGGAGCAGGGGTTCCCAACCCAGTCCTCTGTACCCCCCAGTTCAGGGTTTAGGGATTACCCAGTTATGTCTAAAGTGTTGGTTTTTTTGTTCTGTTTTCTTGTTTTTTTCTGTTTGTTTTTAAACACCTTAGACTAAACTGGGTAATCCCTAAATCTTGGACTGTTAGGGATACTTGAGGACTGGGTTGGGAACCGCTGTTTTAGAGGAAATGACAGGCAGGTAATCTAGGTTGTCAAGCTATTTTGCAAACTCACCTTGGGAGGGTGCCATGGCATTCCTAGCACCATAAACACTGCGGCTTGCTCTTTCTGTAACCGCTTTCTTAAATCTATCCCATTGTACAGCGCTACGGAATCTGATGCCGTTATATAAATAATAAAATAATAATAATAACTAGCTTTGTCTTCATTCTACACCTAGATACTTTCTAATAGTTTCTTATTTCACAAATGCTATCACATTTTTACACTACTTCTGTGACAGACATAACTGCCATGCAGCCACTATTTATCCCTTGAAACACCTATTCCATAATCTATGGAATATGTTACTGTATGATGTGCTAGAAAAATAATATACAATGGGATTAAGCATGCTGTATAAATAAGTGAAACAAATGGTGATGTAAAATGAAAGGTTTGAGTCTTTATAATGTATGCACTCTTCTTTCTTCTGAAACTTCAGGATCCAAATATAGACCCTGACCATTGTGCTGGGTAAATAGCAAATTGAGAATGTAACAGCGATGGATAAAACAAACTTTACAGCTCGTCTCACTTTTCCGTTAGAGTCAATAGTGTTGTTTTTTAAATGCAACGTAATGCATGCTGTGCAGTAGGAGATAACGCTGAGCGAGAATATGGACATGAATATAAAGAAAACATCGTGCCAGGCAGCAGCAGAAAATATTGTAGGGCAAATATTAAAGCTTTCACATTGTGTTGCATTGTTTACACTGAATGAATGTGGATCCAGTAGAAGGTAGGAAGAGAGTGCAAACACGCACATCCACAGCATACAACAGATAGTGGCAGCCTCCTTCATGGTAATATTATTTATTCTGTGGAAAGGTAGTAGAATTTTGAAGTAGCGATCAATAGCAATTATCATCAGGAAGATCACACCAGCACATCTGCAAGATGTAAAAGTGAAAAGCAGCAGTCTACAAAATATGTCACCGTAGACCCAATCTTTACCTTTCAGGTAATAGTCGGCACGGAAGATCACACAGAGCAGCACAACAAAATCTGCAATTGTCAAGCTAAACAGATAGATGGAGTTGGGCTTCCAGGATTTAAACTCAAGGCAGATCATCCATAATCCAACAGAGTTGCCAAGCATACCCAGTATGAACACTAACAGGAGAATAGGAGGTAAAACTTGGTCCAACAACGGTTCTTCAAACGCACAGCAGCTGCTATTCATTGTTCATACAGGATGCTAAGTCTCTTCACAGTAGATTAGATTCAATTCCGGTGACCAAGAATTGTTTATAAGTCTACATGAAACACCCCAGCTTCACACTGAACCATCAAGTAATTCAGATGACTGGGAAGCGAAATTTATATTTATGTTTTAACTTCAGCATTTCATGGTACATGCACAATAACATGCAAATATATGTTTAGTTATACTTTTTTTTTTTCCTTTTTTCTCGTGCCGTGGTTAGACAGATTTTTAAATGAATGTAAAATACATTGGGATTAATTTTGCATTTTTACACCACACACTGGGGGCAAATGCTTTTTTTTTTTACCTACTTAGCTCAGTTGTTAAATTATGTTTTGTTTCAGGCTTTTTTCTGTTTAGCTGTAATGCATACCTAAATAGAGAAGTACATGATATGAAAATGTTTCTTAGCAAGGGAACCCGCTTGCAAATCAGTTTGCACCTCAGGTTTTCATTGCAAATTTGAGGATGAAAATTAGCAGCGAAAAAGAGAAACGCTATGAAGCTATAGGAAAAAAACCTAAATTAATAAACTGTTAACTTGTTGCTCCACATTAACACAGCTTTATGAGGTGTGAAGTGAGGCAATATACTTAGCACCCCTTTCAGCCTATGCCGTTCAATGGCAGAACACAGTCTCACAGTATGATGTAGCTCTTCAGGCCTAGTTGCATAGACATAGGCAAGAGCGGAAAAAAACATCATTGAGGGCCGTTTTTCTCTTGGCACTTCATCCCTCCATGGACACTCAAGGCTCATATACAGCTCTTTGAGGCTTGCAGGTGCAACCCCTGCCGCCAGTAACGCACCGCTGATATGTTGGTGAGTGGTCACATAACTCCCTTGGAGTAAGTTGAAGCATTCTGAGTTGCAATTTGTTCCAGAAGTCGGCAAAGATTTTGTCTAGCTGAGACATGGTTCGGAAAGTTTTGCCATGGTAATCAAGGGGGCACGTGGCGTCTGCCATGTTGAGTGTGCCTCTATCCATCCTGCCTAATTTTTAGGCAGTCCCACACATCCCTGATAGCACCACAAAACCTCCAAGATGTGGACCAGAATTACTGCTGGTCCTAAGGGGGGTGTAACGTGGCTCCATCCTAATGCTGCGGTAGCTCAGCCTGGATTCTCAGCCAAGACCGAACTGGTCTGTACAGAACTGGGAGATCGTCCACCTCTCCCTTCCACGGCACTAACTAGGCTTGCAAGTGGCATCAGGAAATTCTGTGTATACAGCTGCAGACGGCCTCAGGAAGTACCCACAGGCCAATCATTCAGTTCAGGGAGCAAGTAATTCTCACTTAGTCAAAGCAGAGATCCAATAGTCCAGGTTCACGTGACTACATCAAGAAATTAGTGAGGAGCTCTCCCAAAACACGTCCATCTGCCATAACTGTCAGGCCCCCGAATCAGAACATTTCGATGTCATGGTGAGTGATCAGGAAAAGTAACTTTCCGTAACTATGGAAAATAATTTCCATTATTCCTGATCAAACCATGGCAGCAGCCAAAGTTGGCTTGATATAAACTGAGGCTCTTCCTATCCTCAATCATGACACTGATAATGCAAAAGTAACAAATCCACATTTCCAGTATCAAGTTCACCCAACTTGGTTTACAACGATTGGCTGAAAGTGCTAGGGTATGGTATGTTAGTCCTGTGCTCTCAGCCAGTCACTGTCATCTGTGTTATCTGGAATTGAGAGTAATAATGTGGAAGTGTTCATTCTGTAATCAATCACTGTGGCAAAAAGAAGGTGGTCTCTCTGAGCCAGGTTCAGAATGGATTTGATATTAAATTGTTGAACTGCTCCAGGTCACTCTAGGCAACATATCCACTATAGAGAATATTGCTTTAAATTAAAGGTAATATATACACTAAACTAGAAATTTGAGGGACAGACAGTATAAATATTTAACAAATCTAATAAAAATTGTACTGTAGGAATGTAAGGAAATTTTATATAGGAGTTCAAAGTCTATTCCTTCAAAGTACACGAACATTAAAGAGACACTCTGGCCAAATCCTCCCGACCCCCCCAAAAAATCATTATGTAGTACATAGTATATGTGTAGTAGATATGGTCATTGAGGTTATATCTGAAAGGTTGCAAATCACTTGTCCGTAGCTTTTGCATGCCCTACCCTTCTAACCCACCCAGACTTCCTTTGTCTGTCCAATCACAGACTTCCCAATGCAGCTCAATGAGAAGACTCTGCACTCAGGTGCTCTGAGCAATAGCCTGTGTTTTGAATTTATCTCCACTGGGTGAAATAACTAGGAAGTAACAGGCCTGGTTGTCTGATTGAAAGCCAGAGGTTGTAATAAGTTTAATTTATTTAAAAGTGTCTATTTGTATTGAAATCTGCACTTTTTTAAAAATGTAAAATAAAAAAAAGAGGATACATTCTTCATATAGCAGCTGCAGTGCTTTATGGGTCTGGACGATCCCTTTAAATTTGTGAGCACATCGCTGCATTGCGTCTAAAAAGTGCCCCCCGAGAAATTGCTGGACCACAACCATCAGTTATTCAACATCAGAGTCACATTGGACCACCAAAATAACACATCACCAGGCAGAAACAGTTCAAGATAGCCAGATTCATTAAATTAATCACTACTGTGAAATCTTGCCTTGGTATACTCTGATGCAGTCTCTGTAACATGTGGCATTGTGACAACAGTAGAATAGGAAGGACTGGTAAGATATTTAGTTAGTCTTTATGGAATCAAGTCCCCTAAAGACTTATCATGGGTTGTTTTTTTTTATACAGATTACATTTTTATTTGAATTTAAACATGTATATTGACAAATAGAAAGTTTACATATTATCAATAATAAAGTGCATAATCAATTCATAAGATAAAAGTTTTCAAGAGTTAAAGTAATTATAGAAAGCACTTACTGTGGAACCTCAAAACTCGAACTTAATCCGTTGCAGAAGGCTGTTCGAGTCCCATTTTTTTTTCGAGAACCGAATCAACATTTCCCATAAGAATTAAATTAAATTTGATTAATCCATTCCAGATTCCCATAATTACAGCATTTTAACACAAATTTTACAGTTTAATAATACCTTATATGCATAAAATCATATAGAAACAAATAATAAACACAATGTACAGTAAATTAAATGAAAATGTAACTTCACTTTACCTGTAATGATGAGAGTTAATGGCGTAAGTGGAAAGGAGAAGAGCTATCATTGGATGGGGAGTCGCCTTTCATAGTTACAATAGGTAACTGTTCTGGCATTCTTTCTCTTGATCGTTTCACACCACTGGCACCTGGTTGAGTCTAACTGGACCTTTTCTTCACTAAAAAATTGTCTATTGGGGGGCAGAGCCAACGCTTGAGCTGAGCTGACACCATTCCTGACTGCTCCACACTTACCTTGCAAATTGCACCTGAAAATTGCTATACATACCTGTTAAAAACAAAATAACCCGCATCACTGCAAGCTGGGCACACAAAGCCAAAACGCAAAGCTGGGGCCTACCACGCTTCGCAGATACAAGGCCTGGAGACACTCCTTGACAGCTTTCTCGAGGCACAAGACACAGGAGAGTCGGAGTCCCAACTGACGACCCCGCAGCCCCACAACCTACATATGGGGCGCAGATCGCAGATCCCCGACAGGGATATCGGAGCTATGCTTCAACGACCAGCAGCACCTAAAACTCTGCCAACGGAGACCCACCAGATTGAGGTGGCAACCGATCCCACGCCACAGAGCGCTGAACGGGACACATCGCCTACACCCCAACGGGAGCACCCGACAAGCCTTCACCTGCTCGGCCCCGACGACCAAAGGATATCTCAAAATACTCCTCTCCAACCTGCATCAAATGATGGCGGTAGACCGAGCTCTTCTCAGAACAGAAATACAGGCCAACACAGACCGCATTAAAGCCACGGAGGAATGCATCCTGGACACTAGAACTGCTGTGTTCAACTTCAGTGACTCTGCAACAATTGCAAACCCAGCAGTGCAACCTCTCTCAATGGGTGACTAACCTTGAGGATCAACAATGCCGCAATAATATCAAAGTTCGGGGCTTCCCTTTTGGGATAACAATGGAGGCTGCCCGCGGTGGCCAAAAGACTTACCCTGGAAGGGATATACCTCATCCCTGGTTCTGGAATCTCCTCTACCACCACACCACAGGATGCTGCACCTCCGCCACCAACAAGTCCCACATCATGGCTGCTCTACGAGGAGAGTCACCCCTGCACTTTTTTACAGCTAAGCTTTTTCCAAGACCTCTCCAAAGCAACATTAAAGTGGCATAGATCACTGGGGGCAGTTAGCACTCACTTTCGGTCCTCTGGGGTGCAGTATCGCTGGGGACCTGCAGGCTCCTTAGTGGTAAAAAGCAAAGGAGCTACACACATGCGCCGTACACCTGCCAACACAAAAGCATTCCTGGAAGCATTAGGACTGCCACTACCTGTAACAGGAGAACCCACCAATGCTCCTGACAGATCTTGGGATCTGGACAACATTGAACCCTTCATCCCCAGAGGCTCTGACATGCAAGGGACTTGACTATCCAGAGCCCAATCAGGACTCATGCCGCCACACCGGACCCGAGAACCTGGATCTGAGCTGAAGTTGAAAGGTGACCCACTGTTATGCCTTAATTTTATTTTTAATTACCCATTTGTTCCTCTTAATAACCGTGACCACTGATTGAAACAGGGCACCACCCAAGTATAGGTATACTAACATACCCACGCACCTTTCTATGTGAGATTTATCCCCCCCCCCCGACACCCCTAGGTCAGAGGCACAAAAACTCAGTAGAATGAGGGGCTGACATGCCCAGCAATGAAGCCCTTTAGTAAATATAACCAAACATTACCCGCTACATCTTACACCTCATTACATTGCCACATCATAGAGCCTCGTTCTAGCGAAGTATATACGAGCACGCACGATATAACACTAATCTGCGAAAGCCACCTGTTTACCCTTGATACACTACATATAGCAAACTAACGCTTCACTCTGGGCTCCCCGGAGCACACCTAACTCACCAGAACAACCAAACATTTTAGGAAACCCTCCGCCCAGCCTAGAGAGACAAGAGCATATAGTATAAAAATTAGTGCTATGTTATTTATGTGAAAAAGCACTGTCTGATATTTTTGTTTCATGCTGACAACTGTTTCTGTCATTCTCAATTGCACTCCAAAAATAAAGAATTATTAAAAAAAAAAAAAATGTCTATTGAGACTTGCTGTTGTCTATGTTTTAAAATATCTCTAAAGTGAGACATTATCATTGAACATGTTTGTATCATGATTTACAGCAGCTTTATCAGGGTGATATTTTTCAACAAAATTTTGCACTTCAACCTACTTCGCACATATGTCTTTGATCAGTGCACTAGGGACATTTTACCTTCCTTCCCTCCTACTCCTCCTCTGAAGAAAATTCCTCAGATGTCCTTCTTTCCTTCTCCCTCTGAAGGTCTTGGAGTTCTTCTGAGGTGAGTTCGGTCTGGTGATCCTCCACTAACTACTCCACATCTTCATCATTCACCTCCAAGCAGTGGTGTATCCTGGTTTTGTGCTGCCCTAGGCAGGACAAAACTCAGGCACCCCCTCTCCACACTTCTAAATACACCCACACACACACACACACAGTCAGACACACACACACAGTCAGACACAAACACACACACAAACACACACACAGTCAGACACATACACAGACACAAACACAGTCAGACACAAACACACACACACACAGTCAGACACATACACACACAGTCAGACACATACACAGACACAAACACACACACACACACACACAGTCAGACACAAACACACACACACACAGTCACAAACACACACACACACACACAGTCAGAAACAAACACACACACAGTCAGACACAAACACACACACACACACAGTCAGACACAAACACACACACACACAGTCAGACACACACACAATCACTCACATTAACTTTTTTTTAATTTAAACCCCCCCCACTTACCTTTGGGAGTGCTGGGGGGGTCTCTCTCTCCCTGGTGGTCCTGTGGCTGCCGGTCGGGCTGGGCGGCGGCGGTTGCTAGGCGGGCGGCTGGCGAGGGAGCACTTCCTCTGAGCGGTCTGCTCAGCTCCCTCGCGCGCCGCAGAGTGAGGCTGGGAGCCGGGAGATGACATCATATTGATGGCGTCTTTGTTTTTTTATATGGTACAAATTGTAGATTTGGCCATACCAAACTGTGTTGACAGTCAAGATCAGCTTTCATGTTTTAAAATAATCTCTTTGTTCAACTCTCTTGTTGTTCTCACAATTTTCCTCTTGGGTTGGCTAATATCCTTGGGACCCATGGTGAGTTTTTGCAGACTAAATTGAACTCTATTTGAGAACTTAATTGAACTCTATTTAAAGGCTGAATAAAATGTATTTGAAGACTTAATTGAACTTTATTTGAAGACTGAGTGGAGCACTATTTGAAGACTAAATTGAACTCCTTTTCAAGACCGAGTGGAGCTCTATTTTTTTTTTTTTATTATTCTTTATTTTGTTGTGCATAGCTTTTTCAAACAAGTATGTGCTGCCATTTCAGTGGTAACATGTTTAGATATAATGTATTTAGAAAGACAATTACATGGCATAGAGGTAAGGAGCACGTTTTCCAGTAAGGAAAAACAGGAAAATTTAACAGTTAGGTTAGTCACAGTGAAGTTGTTCTAGCTGTGTATGGTGTTCGGCTATTTAGTCTGTGTGATACGTTGCAGTCTACTGTGGGACTAGCTGGGCGCGGTGGGGTGTACATGCTGGGCAGGCATGGTATTTTAAAGGCACTACAATGGTGTGTATCTGGGTGGTCGTATGCTCTCAGGAGGGGCATCGTGAGTGTTTGTTTTTTAAGCTCCCATGCTCGTATCTATCCTGCTGTGAGTGTAGTAAGCCGGGTACGTGGGCAATGGGATAGTTTCTGGTGTAGCTGGACCTTGGGTTGTGCTGGGGGTGTCTTGCTCTGCATTGAGGTAAGGGACCCCTAACCTTGGGGGTGGTGGGGGGGCGGGAGATGTATGGTTATGTGGACTATGTGTCCGTTCGGGCGTCTAGTCCTAGTGGTAATAGGGCTCAGGTAGCCCCCTGTCCACGTGGGTCGCAGGCCTGGGGACCTGAGTGTCAGTGGGATAGTCAGATCAAAAGGAAAATAAATATTAAAGTATAGTAAAAAGCATAAGGAACATGAAACATTAACATAATATTGGAGGCTTTCTCCTTCGATGGTGTGAGGACGGTGTAGGATATCAGTCCGTCTCAATCATAACTTGGGTTTTGCCAACCGGTTAGTATTCACGGGCCCTGTGCCCCCAGTCCACTCGTTCCTGGGGTGTGAGGAGAGGCAGTCATGTGTTCTATGTGTTCTCCTTGGCGTTTCGGGGTCTGGTTCGGCAGGCCGAGGGTTTTCAGATATTTGGAGGCTTCCTCAGGCATGTGAGGACTTGTGTGGTCCCTGCATGGGTAACTTCCATGGAGCCCCCTGCTCCCCACCTGTAGGCTATACCTGCAGCGCGTAGCTGTGTTGCTGTTGGGCCGTATGACTTACAATAGTGTGGCCCTAGAAAAGTCCTGGTAGAAGGTCAGCTCTGAGTCTTCGAAGGGTAGTGGCGTTCGGTCTTTAAGCGCCGCCATGATATGGAGCTTGTCCTGGACTGTGATGCATCTTAAGATGACGACTAACGTAATGAGGCAGTTCTTCTGCAGTGATTGTATTTGGGATTCCCCTAATTTTGATATGTGTTCGCCTTTGTCTGTCTTCTATGGTCACCATTTTGAGTGCCATAACTTTTTGGTGGTGTTGTATAGTTTGTACCTGTTCATCCAATGTGGCCAGGTGTGTTTTAACCTCTCCCATGTCTTGTTCTGCGGCTGTTACCCGGTCCGTGACCGTTTGTACCTCTGTCTTGAGGGCCGTGTCCGCTGCTAAAAGCCTGTGGATGTCAGCGAAGGAGTTTGAGATCTCCCTTAGTGGCTGGTGCTGCGTCTTCAGGGGAGTCAGGCTGCTGTATCAGCGCTGTCTTCGTGGCCGAGGGTGTCTCCGGCCCCCCCTGCTCTGAGTGGGGAGTGTGGTCTGGTTCACGCTCGTCTCCCACTTGTATGGGAGCGGGACGCGGCGGCACCGGGCGTTGCAGCAGCGCGCTTATATCTCTGCCTTCAGCTGCTGGTTTTTGGGATCTGCGTCCCATTGCCGGTAAGTGAGCCGATGTTTCGGTAGGTGAGGGGGGTATTGGATGCCCTTCCCTCTCAGTCCGTGGGCGGAACAGGAGTTCCTCTAGGTCCCGGATTGCTGGCGTGTGGTAGGCCCCGGTTTTGCGCTTCCGCTTGGGGAGCTTGTGGGGTTGAACAAACAGCATCTATCGGTGCCTCTTGTCTTGCTGATCCTAGCTGTGTGGGTGGTAAGGCTGGATGGGTGCCAGTTTTGCGGATTTTGCCCGGATTAGGTTTTTTTAGTCGGGGGTGAATGGAAATGGCATCTGGTGCCATGTGATAGCTGGCTCCACCCGAGTGGAGCTCTATTTGAAGACTGAATTAAACGCTTTTTGAAGGCTGAACTAAACTCTATTTGAAGACTGAATGAAATTTTATTTGAAGACTGAATTTAACTCTTTTTGAAGACTGAATTGAACTCTATTTGAAGACTGAGTGGAGCCCTTTTTGAAGACTGAATTGAACTCTATGAATGGAGCGGTTTGCTGAGAGAATGGAGCGGTTTGCTGACAGAATCTTGCTCTGTTGACTGAATGGAGCTGTTTGCTGAGAGAATGGAGCGGTTTGCTTACAGAATAGAGCTCTGCTGACTAAATGAGCTGTTTGCTGAGAGAATGGAGCTGTTTGTTGACAGAATAGAGCTCTATAGGTAGACTGAATGGAACTGTTTGCTTACAGAACGGAGCTCTGCTGACTGAATGGAGCTGTTTGCTTACATAATGGAGCTCTATTTTAAGAATGAATGGAGTTGTTTGAATGCAGAATGGATCTCTATTTGAAGACTGAATGGAGCTGTTTGCTGACAGAATTGAGCTGTTTTCTTAGAGAATAGAGCTGTTTCCTAACAGAATGGAATGGCGATGTGTCATACTAATGAGGTACCAACAAGTTTACCGACGAGGTTACCATAGAGGTAAATGCCACGTGATTTGTTCGGGTATCGAGAATCGTTCGCGTACTGAGACATTTTTACTCAAAATTTTTGTTCAACTTGTTAGAGAACGGGACCGTTCGAGTTCAGAGGTACCACTGTATATGGCTATGTCATTATAAGAAAGTCTTATGCGTGTATTAAAATTGTATAAATAACAAAAAAGGAAAAAATATAATGACATACATTAAAACTAATAAGCTAATACAAGGTACGCTAACATTAGATGCACAAGACATACTGAAACACCTGTTAAAAGCAGGAAAAATTCATTCAAAAAGCCAGGTCCAAGCAAAAAAGGAATAATATTAAAGAGTGTTCAAATAGATGTTCAAATAAGGGGCCAACTTCTGGGGGAATATAGGGAAAGAATTAAGAACACCAATGCTAGAGTAATAAGTAGTCTAAAATACGGCCCGGGCATTTTTCAATTATAGCAGCCCCCCCTTACAAGGGGGCAGGGCCAGAGAGTGTGTGTTTTGTCATCACGAATTACAAGAGAACCCCTTCTCAAAGTGAGCATGATGGTTCAATGCACAGAGTCCTGCTGAAGAGCATGAGAAAAAGGCCCTGTATTTGT